TACAAATTTGTTGCTTTTAGTCTAACCTACAATTCTGTAAGAATAGATTTTTATTTTTATTATAAATTTAAAAAGTTATTTGAGTCTAAAGTTAATATGTAGTCAAAAATTTGGCATTTAATATATAAAAAAATTGTTTTTATAGATTTTTAACCAATCAGAATTTTGTTATACAAAAAATAGCCAATCATATTTGAGTATAAATTTCAAAATTTGGCGTTTTTAAAAAAAATTAGATATCTTATGCTGGCCCGAACTGTAGAAGCCTGCTTGGCAAGTCCTGAATAAAAAAAGTAGTACAAACTTTCAATAGTACTATATAAAGGATTATCACCAAAGAACTAGAAAACCAAATGGGACTAAGGTGTTTGGCAAAAGCACTATACTAATCAGACTACTAAAGAATCAAAAGAAGGATTGCCTTTCTAAATCATCTGAATTAAAAGTTTGAAAAAACTAAAGGTATAGTAGATAATCTGTATAATTGGTGCTAGGATTTGAGTAAACTTTATAAGGGCAATTGTAGATAACAGTAGTGACTTCAGTTTGTAAGTACTTGTCTTTAGACTCAGTATAAATTACCAAAGTCTAGGTTAGCTGAATTGTAAATATGAAAAGCTCTAGCAACAATACTTTGAGAATAAAATAGTCCTAAAACTACAGCAAGTATCTAGAACTTCTTAACTAACAAATATATGAAATGTTTTAATGATACAAGTATAGTTGCGTTATAGAAAGTTTAAATAGGTAATCCTCTAGTCAGGTTATAGATATGGTATTTAGTATAGTCTCTATAGTGTAATACTGATATTCAAACTACTTAAGTAATAATTTGGCTAAGATTTGCAGAATTACTATATTGAGACAATAGTAAATTTTGGGGATAAATACAATATAAACTTTTATTATATGTTGAAATCTTATAACTACTACTATGGTAAGTAATTTTTTATTAAGCTAACAGCTCATATTAATTAATTGAAAGTTGTAGAGCTCACTGAAATGCATTTAATAGTAGTTAAATCATTCAAATTGGCCTACTATATGCTGAGATATTACTAAAAAATAGTCAAATAACTATATAAATTTTATATAAACAAGGCAGTTGTAAGATTTCAACATATAATAAAAAACATAGTAATTTCCCCAAATTTTAATATAAAAATTTTACAGATCTTATCCAGATTAACAATTAAATAAACAATTAAAAGTTGCATATATGACTAGTTGTATTTTCTAATATAAAAAGTAATTAAAGAGACTAGTTAAAAAAACTACTTTATTTGTATCTAAACCAAATATAACTATTTAATAATAAATATATTTCAAAATATATACAGTCAGACCTCTCTAAATGTACGTTGTCATGACCAGCTTTAAAGTATGCATTTAGGGAGGGCTGCAATTAAAGAACACTAATAAAATCACTATTACGTAATAATTGTGTTTTTAATTGCCTAAAATAATAGATTTGATTGGTTGATAATCATGTGTATACATTTATAGAGGAAGTTTTTATAAGTGGGCCAGACAATTAGCATGCACTTACAGAATAAAGAACGTGCATTTATCTATAAGTTCCACCATGGGCCTGGGCTTATATTATGCATTTAGAAGATGCTGTATTTAGGGAGGGTGCATTTAGAGAAGTTTGACTATATTGTATTTATTTTTACTTTCTGTAATTAAAATAAAAGATATTTATAACTATAACTGGTAGTAATGATCACTAGTATATAATTAGCCAATAAATTTGCAAGATCAGATATAATATGCAAATTAATTTGTGTAACAAAAATAAAGATATTTTTTAAAAAATATTAATATTTCAAAAATTCGCCTATGAAACTACCTTCAATGTTCTAACAAAAAAAAATCTTTGCTAAATTTTGCATATATTTAATACTTTGCTAAAATCCCAAACTTTACCCTAACCTTAAAGTACATGAAATAAAATCTTTTTTTAATTTATTGTTATTGGCTAATTATTTATTAGTGATGATTACCACTGGTTATTTTAAGTAAAATTCTAAAATAAAATTAGATAAAGCTTTAAAATAAAATTTTATATCTTTAAATTTATTTATAAATTCACTTTAAAATACAAGACAATTTTGATAAAGTAATATTTTCAAATCACAAATCACAATATATAATAAAATACAAATCTGAATAAACATATAATATTACAAAATGATTTAATTATTATTAAGCAAAAAAAATATGAAATCTTGAAGATTTCTTTATATCTCATTTATTTTGCTATAAAAATAAATTTTGTTAGATTTTCAATAAATTATAAAGCTACAAGTTTTTTTTACTTTTGTGTATGTAATCGCTAGTTGCGATTAAGTAGCACCCAAAAAGCGTGATATAAGCCAATCATCGCTCGAAGATTGCCTGTGAAAAGTTTCACAATCAATATCCAAATTTGGTAAAATCTCAGACTATATCGATATTAGATAAATATATTAGAACAGGGTGAAACTTGAGTTGCGAAATAGTGAAATCCGCTTTGTAGATCGGGTTAGGGTGAAATCCGCGTTTTATATGTTTTTTATTATATAAAACCGGATTTCACCTTTGTGTGATGATCATAGCGGATTTCATTATTTCGCAACTCAGGTTTCACCCTGTCGTAATATATTTAACATTGTCATATCTGATATACAGTATTATAATCGTAATAAACAGATATTTTCAAATATAATATTTATTTGCCTAAAATTGGTTAAAAAATATAGCATAGTATATATTATAGTAATAAAATAGTGAAATATTCATTGAAGTCTTTTCAAATCTTTGATCTTTGTTTTTGCGCAATAAATGCTGTATTAATATTCTTGCAGTGAATAATTATTTAGTAATTTCTGTTATTCTAATACACCAAGATGTATAAATAAATTGCCTGTCTACTATTTACTAAAAAAACAAACCTACTTATTTTCGGACCATTAAAAAAACGGGTTTAATTCAATTTATTTTTATTATTTTAATATAAAAAAAAACTTGAGGCAATGGGCTTTATGACCGGGAAATAAAGTATCTTTTGCTCTGCATTCACCCATTCAACGATTCCATTATCTTACGCCCGTGTATACTTTCAACTTCATTTTGAACTTCTTTTCCCAAATTTAATTCATCGAACTAATTTAAGGCTTGCGCCCGACTATATAGTTCCCACGCGAAGTTCTCACGTAGTTCTCACGTAGTTCCCACGTTAGATCTAATCTATGCTATATCTATCTAGCAACATCATTAATGTGGCTATGAATAAATAAAGGGCTAGACCAATAATAACTATATATAGTAGTATGGGATACAAATAAGTAAAAAAATACACCGATAAAAATTGTGAATCGGAAAGTAAATGATGCAATACGATAAAAAGATCTTAATAAGAAAAATAAGTGACACATAATCATTGTAACAATGAAATTTTGATTATTCAAGGAATGATTTTAAATATATAAAAAAAAAAAAAAAAATTAATAATAGTAATAGGACAGGCAGGGTGAAACCCGCGTTGTGTAATAATTAAGACGTGATCTCATGTGAAGATAATGACAACAGTTTCGACCCCTATTATGGTAGATTACTTGAATAAAATTTTATAGTGATAAAAGTCTCGATTAATAATGTACTCATGTAAATACTAAAATTTGAGATTATTTTTGAGTTTCTGCAAAAAATATTATTCATATTTAACGAAACGATGAAATATTAAGTTACCGACAACTTTATATATCTTTGACTTAATAATGCAGCAGTCAAGGTACAAGCGTTTTAATTAATTCTATTTATGATTCTATTTATTGATGTTATTTGTTAATATCACCCACTCTATCAGCTTTACAAATAATATCAATCAGTATTTATGCCACTTATACTCATTTCGCTAATAAGAATAATGGATCGGGAATCTGTTGTAGAAATATCAAATACTCGTACATAATAACATAACAGATACTTAGAAAGACTAATATGGAAAATATAATTTATTATATTTAATGAAATAAATTATGAGCAGTTGTAACTAATAAACATACATTATTGCATTATTGTATTGTGTTATAAAAATTACACAATTTTACAACCAATCAAAATATAGAATACATGCGTAGAAACATGCTGTAATATCCTTCATTCAACTGTATGGTGTAAGCTGAGGTGTACATATTTACATATCAGGATTAACGAAATGAGTTGCAGTAATATCGCATACAAAAAGATGTACCGTTAATACAATTTACGGTAAGCATGTAATGCCACTTTATATTTTTGCTCATATAATTTGAATAATTTAAATAATTTAAATAATTTAAAAATATCGTTAGAGCACAGACCACTTGAATATATAATTAGAGCACAGCATTTATGATAATGATAGCGTTCACAATTTAGCGTTAGTACCCAATACAGAACAGAACAGTACATGTAAAGCATTAATAAATCGTGTAACGGAAATTTCTGATACAGTATCGGTATCAGAATCGTTAATTAGATACATACCGATTACCTATAATCGAATAATGAATAAAAATGAGATGATAGCAATATAAACAATGCTTATTTGTATATTGCATTCATCCAGATAAATTACAGTTTCAGTATTAGGCTTAACTGTTTCGACAAATAGAATCTTCAAAGAATATAAATTAATAAATCTTTGTAAATTTTGTAATTATTGTGTATGCAAATTAAGTTCTTTATTTACAGTAATAAAAAGTGAACATTCTATTTCAACTTCTTTGTAATGCATAAATGTTTGACAAATATTAAAAAAAAATTCTCAAAAAAAAAAAAAAAAAGGTAAAGAAAAAAAAGACAAAAAAAAAAAAAAAAGGAAAACACCAATGCACAATAAACTAACTAATAAAAGAATATATGATTAAATGTATATATAGATTTTTTACCCTTTTTTTTGTAAATCTATTACAAAATTGACGTTATGATTGTCCTGATGAATAAATCATTCAAGAAGTATAAAGTATAGTAGTTCATCGTTGATTATTAAATGCTGGAGATGAGAATGACCCACCATTATTTTTTTTAATATTGTCAATATCCTCAACATCCGTTTTCTTCGGTTTCGACGAACAACATACTACTTTTGCCAAAATCTTATATAGTTATCGAGAAATTTGAAGAGCATTTTAATGTTGGATCATTACAGTATTTGGGTGAGAGATAAAATTTATAGTGCTCACATTAACTGAATTTTTATCTTTTTTTCTATGTTTTTGGTGATTTGACTGTTGCTTTGATTTTGCGCGTAAAAGTTGTTGTTGAGTGTGCATGTAAAGTCGATAAGCGTAATCGTTTTTGGCGGCAGTTATCATCGAGTCCGTAGGTTCATTTTTTGATGAGTTTAAGTGTTGACTGGTATCCATTTGTTTTAAGAAATTTAAACAGGATCGTTTATTAATCAAAACAAATCTCGAAATGGATTAGGAAAATATTATGTGAAATTAATATAAATCTTCACTATACAATTTTTTTTTTTTTAATTTCTGACAAAAAAAAACATACGTACGTACGTAAATACACTATTTATAATAATCATCTAACTAATGGTTTTCCAAAATAGGAATGAATTCATCATAACGCATACTAATATTGCATAATATGCGTAAGCCTCAGTGAAATTAAATTAGTTTGATCGATCTTTGCGTCATAACCGTGATGATAATTTATCATAATCATCTGAATATAAAAATAAACATCAACTGATGACGATTTTTGTGTTCAATTTTTGTATCATAATAAAATTTCCATACTAAAGTAAACTGGTTAAAAAAATATATTGAAAATACTACTTAAAAACCATTGTTTAATTTCTAATTATGCGAAGTAAAAGATCACTACTTAACGCTCATCTGTTCTAATATCAAATATATTAATATATATCAAATATATTAATATATATAAAATATATTAATATATATTTGAAAACTATATATTTTTTTTCTTTCAATTGTTAACGAATTTAATGTTTAAAATGAATGCAAGTGTCCCTTTTTTTGTGCATATACCAAAATCTAATCTTTTATCCTACATAATTGTAATTTTCTACATAATTTTTGAACAATCAAATGTTTATGTAAAATTACGTATATTTTTACTTATCTGTTATCTTGCGCGGGTATCCCCATACGACGTACGTACGATGTATAATATATTCAGGGTTTTTGTTAATCCAATATAGCAAAAATATATATAATTCCATTATAAGAAAGTAGAATGATTTATTCTACGATTATATATGTATATATATGTATATATATATATCGATATATATATTAAATTTTTTTTCCTGCAATTTTAATATGACGTATTTATATATTGAACAAGTTCAATCTTACTTTTTCCTGACTTTTAATCATTGTTCCTGAAAACCGGACATATGGATTTTCTATCGGAGAGCTGCATAATTGATCGTCATCATTACGATTTATCTTTTTTTTGCTATTTATATCATCACTACTATTTGATGATATTTATACTTTACGTATTATGCACATTTGTACAATATGTTTACACATGTAAGCGTCTTTCAAGCTCTGATGTAACATTGTCATAGGCAATTCCTTTTTTTCTACATACTCGTGCCTCAATTGTCGATCTTTTAATTAATAATGATTTATAACGATAATCAATTCTTATTTCAGGGTTACACTAACCTTAATAGCTATACAATTTTGTTTATAATAGTTTATATATATGGATTAGATAACGATAAATTAAAGATCAGATATTTGTTTTTTTTTCGGTTTTATGATTAGCCTAAATTATTCAATCATAATTTATGTTTAAATTTCGCCTTAACACATTACTCTATGTTCAGTTTAGTTTCTTTTTTTTTGCCCAATCGATTTTTTTTTCTTTTTAAAGACCCTGCAGTTACTTTCTTCCGTAAACATCTACTAACTTTTGTCGGGTCTATATACTATATATTACTGTATCATTGCGGATATTATTCATAACTGATACGAGATATTACATATTTGTGTATTTTTTTTTTTTACTAAGCTAACAAATACAGTTAACACACTTCTTTTTCTAGAATCATTTTTCTTAGTAAGCGATTACTATTACCCAGAAATCTGTTTCTTTTAAATCATTAAATTACTGCTTTGTATGACTATTTCTGCATAATCTGCTTAACCAATTACAATTAAGAATATTGCTTATTGTTATTACGTAGTAATATATAATTAAATAATTATTCTCGTTATATAATTAATTCGAACAGAATCAGCAGAATTTGTGCATATTTGTGCAGATTTTGTACTAGCAGTAAGCTGGACACTCTATTAAATCCTTACGTTATATACAGTACACATCTAGATTAGAGACCTGGAGATCTGCGTTCCTAAAAAATAAATCATACGTATAAGTACGTACGTACGTACGTTTATGTATTTCTTAAGATCTCTGTAAATCACAAGACCCCACATCCTAACGTACGTACATACATATATACATATATGTACGAATGATGCAGTGGAAACGTACGTACGTACGTACGTACGAGATATGCTACACCATAATTATACTTTATCTTCATTTCGTAATTTCCTAAACCAAACCGTTGAATTAAACATTTATTATATCGTCTTAATCTTTAATGAATGAAATTTTCTACATATCGCAAGGTTCGAAAGCACGGATATAACGTTGCAATTAACCTTTTCTATAAATATTCTTAAAAAAAAAACTCTTGATGTGTTACGTGACTTTTTTCTATATCTTTTTCACATGTAATTGAAAAGGCACTCCAAAAAATACTTACGGAAGAGAAATAAGATTAAATGGTCCCTTAATACTGTATTCGAACTTAGTATTATATTGAAAGTTTCTTACGCAAGCTAAAATCTATTAAACAAAAATTTAAGAGTTTTGATTATTAATATTTTGTTATCTTTTACAATATTTTATTACGTAATTACTGTATATGTGACATAATTTATAGTTAATCAAAAATTCTTTTTTATCATATTACGTCATTTATTAGGGTTAGCAAATAATTGTAATTTTTACGACAATATAATAAAAAATTTAACTTACGTCATAATTAAAGTGTATCGCACCCAGAAAATGTGTACCGGGTTGGGATCGGATGATCGTCCGGAAAGATAGGTCGGAATGATAGCATTTGGAACT